AGTTGATGTAGAGGCCTGACGACCGCACTGTATTCCTGAAACTGATGTTGAATAATACTGTATGTCAACGATAATTATATATACATATATAACCTCGGGACATGGAGTAGAGTGCGGGAACGGATTCAATGGAATTGTAATAGATAAGCATGATATGGGGGTGGGAGGGCAGTGAATGGGGGGAGGGGGGTTGTTACTTTGTGAGGGTGAAAAGGATAACTATTGCATTGTTCTGTACACCTGAAACTAACAATAAAAAAATTAAAAAAATAAAATAAATAAAATAAAATAAACATTTGCAAAATTGTAAAAAAAAAAAATGTGACTTGTAATGATCATTAGTTAATCAATATATATTAGGTATGACAATTTTAATACAGTTTTGATTTCTTAAAATGTGTATACATTTTTTGGGCACCCTCTGTATATATACATATACATATACACATACATATACATATGATGACTCTCAAATTCTCTCTCTAGTTTGGACATCTTCCATGAGCTTCAGACTCAATGGCCAACTCCACATCTTCACTTAAACGTTTAACATACCTCTCAAACTTACCATGTCCAAAATTGAACTCTTGATCTTCCCTCTCAAACCTGCTTGACCTGCAATTCTCCCCACCTCAGTTAATAGCCACTCTATTTTATGAGTTACTCAGATCTTAAGAGTCACATCCTTTAAACCATTCTTTCTCTTTAACCCCCATATCAAATTCATCATCAGCTGACGATCCCTTCCAAATATGTCCAGAATTTGACCACTTCTCACAGGCTTTTACTACCCTGGTCTAAGTCCCTATCAACTCTACCTGGTTGATTTCAGTAGTTTCCTAACTAATCTGTTTCCTCCCTGGTTCCTCTACATTTTGTTCTCAAGACAGCAGGCAGAGTGATCCTATTAAAATATAAGTCAGATCGTATCACTCTGCTGCTGGAAACCCTCCAATGATTTCCCATCTCATTGCATAAAAGCCAACATCTTCATAAAAGCCCAGAAGGTCCTGCATGGTATCAACATGTCATCTCTCTAATTATATTTCCTACTCACCCTCTATTAATTCATTCATAATGGTCTTCTTTCTCTTCCTTGAGTATGCCAGGGATCATCCCTATAACAGGGCCTTTGAATTTGTCTGGAATACTCTCTTCTCAGGTATCTATATACCTTACTCCTCATTTCATTCAAATCTTTGCTCAAAGTTCACCTGACAATTCCATTTAAAACTGCAAAATCTCCCCTCCCGTCAGCTCAACATTCCCTATCTTATTCCCTGCAATTTTTCTCAAACGTGTATATTTTGGCCTAATATAGCATGTAATTTACTTATTTATTGTCCTTTCTTCAAAGGACATTAATTGCAAAAGGCCAGGACTTTTGTTTACAGCTATATTCTCACTGCATAGAACAATGCCTGGTGCATTCAATAAATGTGTTGGATGAATGATAATAAAGCTCTCTTGAAGAATGAGTGGTTAGCAGTACCAAATAAATTAAAGAAGAAAAGAGGGTCTGAAAATCTGGACACAGATTATATTTAGGTAGAAACGATTTATGGATGATGTAAGGAAACTTTATAATAGCACATTGGCAGAGAGACCTGTGTACTTTGTCACTCTCACTTTTTATGTTTCTTTTACAATCATTCCCTTTGCCATTTTCCCCTCTCTAGTTCTGATAATGCCACCATCACTGGAGGCCCTCATGGTGCAGGCTACTGGTTTATAAACTTGACAGAATATTCCCTCTTGACATAAGCTAAGAAGAAAGGTTAGTAACTTACAAAAAATGTAGTAAAAGTTCATTCCTGTTCTCTTTATTTTTTTGTCTGAATTTTGTCTGAAAATTCTTTTAGCAGAATTTCTTTCCTATTCTTGATCTCTATCAAGGAATGTGGATTTGCTCATTCATCTTTAAGAAAACCACTGCCAGCATAAAACTATACATTCAAATGAAAACGAATAAGTTAATGAGTGTCATTAAGACCTTTGTTGAATTTAAAATATAGTTATTATGATTTTGTAAACAACTAAAAAAAAAATCCAAAACTGATTTGAAGAAAAATTGTCTATATTTTCACTCAGTGGTCAAACAACTTTTATGTATGGCTGAACAGAATTATGCAAATTCGTGATCAAACTGTTATTTCTATTCTGTGAGATTTCAGGAGACAAAATCATTCCATACCTGAAAAAGAAATATAAAATTAAATTTTTTAAAATTAAAAGTCTACCAAACATGACATGACTAACCTTTTCTTGTAGAGTTGGCTGAAAGTGTTGAACCTTTCCAGATCCCTGTAAGGACTGCCAAATGTTGCAAAACTCATCATCAGTTTTAGTAGGTACCTGTAAAAAAAAATAAATTTCTTAAAGAATTGAAACATGAAAAAATAAAGCTTCATATGAAAAATCAAATAATTTATTCATCAAAATTATTTAGCAGTAAAGAGGACATTTAACTTTCATTATTTGAAATTTCATTTCTTTTTTTCTGGTGTTCAGTATAGTCATCATAAAGGTAATCTATTGGAGTGAAAATGGCTTTCCTCACTTCAACTGTAATTGGTTTTGAATGGTTTTATTGAAAAGTATTTAAAGCATAACAAATGCTGTAAAAGATTATACTAAATCAATATCCCCACTAACAGACTCTTTTTATCTTCCAATGTGCTGATATATTATCTCATTTAAACTAACATCTAATGATTTTATTTTAAAAATCTCCACCTTATACAAAAGTAATCTAATAGATTAAAAATTAGCTATTACTTATGGATAATTGTTTTCATGCCGATTAAAATTCTGAAAAAAATATGCACCAAAATTAAAAAGTGGCTATCTATTAGACTTGAGAGGATTTTTGCTTCTGTTTCCTTTGTTATTATCTACTTATCTGTGTTTTCTAATTAGTCATAATCCAAACATTATTTGGATTAAAAAGTGTGGTTAAGATTTGTGGCCATGGAATTAAATGAAGTTAAGCGTCTCACACAAAACAATTTGAATTTTGTCCCCAGGAAGATGAAATAAAGGAAATCACCCATGAGTTGCATGGTGGGAACTTAAAAATTGCTTTTGATAATCAAGATATGCCTTTTATTTTTCAAATTTACGTTATTTTATAGCAGATAGCATAGGACACTTGGGTTACATAGGAAAAAGTTTAAATGTTAATGTCAAAGCAAATGCATAAAGAGAAAAAAAGACATTCTCAAGCTAATTATTATTACATAAATATCTTTCTTCTTTAATATAACTGTAATTTTAAAATTATGTACTCTTTTATCAATAGCATTCTTTACTAGCCTATTAGTTTAAAACAAATCTGGAATTGACTCGAACCAAAACTTTTTAAAAAACTAAGTCAAATTAGGTTTCCATTTATAGTCATCCTGTGATTTCTAAAGGAGGTAGAGAGAAATTAAAGACTAAGGGTCTTACTTGTGTAGGAACAAAAAGTGATTGAGGAGAATGGTTCAGGCCTCCTAAATGCCCAGATGAAACCGATGGATTTGAGCTATAATGATTCACAGCTGGCTGTGGTTTCACAATGGCTGTCAACTTCTGATTTCCAGTTTCAGAGCGACTCCCATGAGAAAGGTTCACCAGGGCACTCGTTGGCAGTCGATAACCCCTAGCAGGCGAGCATCTAAAAACAAAATAGTACATCAGGTAGACAGTCCATAATTCACACTAATAAATATTACTTTTAAATTCAGTAGAGGAACTTGAAATCATAGAAAAATCTCAGATTATAAGATGATGCATTTCAGAAGAGTTTCTAAATAGACTCTTTAGTGGTACTAAGTGGGGAAAAAACTGTTCTAGAGGTGTAGTTCTATGTGTAGGTGTTTGTATGCGTGTGGGTTAGTTTGCCATCAGGCGGCTTACAACTTAACAGCTGAGAATGATGAAAAGTTTATGAATTAAATGTCAAATTCTTTAAAAGACTGTGGTTTGTACAGTCTGGGTTATGAAAGCCCAGGAGCAATCCAAGTGTGGAGACATTCTCAGTATGGCTCTATCTACGTATAGCTCTATCTACGCAACAGGGTAAATGTTAGCTTTGATCACATTTGTCTCCTGATCAATTGTTGAGTCCAGCCTTCTTTTAATCCTCATCTTTCCATCTTAAAGTTCTGGACCTGGAAAGGCTTAAGAGATAAATATTTGTGATTTCCTTCCTTCCTGGCCCAGATAGAAGTGTTAGATATTAAAATAAGCCTTCTCTTGTCAAAGGTTTTGAATGCTATCACCTACATTTTTCTCTCTGAGAATGTAATTTTCTTATGTTGCAAGATTACGGAGAAGTTGAATTATTTTATGAGAAATCTTTGTAAAATTTCTAGACAATGTTTTTGTGAGAATGATAGCTACAGAATCTGCATTACAGAAATGAATGTACTATAGGCAAGTAATCTTTTACACCGCTCTCTATCAGTCAAGAAATCCACTGTTTCTACCTAGAAGAGGAAAACAAGACACTGAGAAAAAAGATAACATAAAAATAAATTTTCAAAGTTACTGGGCTAAGGTTATTGGTAACCAAACATTTTCATGAAAAATAAAATCAGATATGGGATCCAGACTCTGCTGCTGCATTTGAAGAGTACAAACAGTAAAGTCTTTGGGTGAGAGACACATTCAAATTGCAAAACCACAATAACAGCATCCTGAGGGTGATCACTTGCTATAAGAACTAAAGATTGTGATTTTATGAAAGAAGCGAAGAGATTAATTTATTTTAATTACCTACTGATCACAACAGAGGAGAAAAAGAAAAACTTGGCTAAATTTAATTAAGTTTTCCAGCCATTTCTATTTAAAAATTTTTTAAAATATTTTTATTCATTTATTTGTTTTGCTAATAATTTATTTTTCAATTACAGTTGACTTACAATATTATATTGGTTTCAGATTTACAACATAGTGATTCGATATTTATATAACTTATAAAGTGATCAACCTGATAAATCTAGTACCCATCTGACACCATACAATATTATTACAATATTACTAGCTATATTCCCTATGATATACTTTACATTCCCAGGACTACTGTGTAACTACCAAATTGTATTTGTTTTTGTTTGTTTTTTTTTAGAAATTTTATTGGGGAACAGTGTGTTTTTCCAGGACCCATCAGCTCCAAGTCAAGTAGTTGTCTTCAATCCAGTTGTGGAGGGCACAGCTCCGTGGCCCATGTGGGAATCGAACAGGCAACCTTGGTGTTATGAGCCTGTGCTCTAACCACCTGAGCTAACTGGCCACCACCCAAATTGTATTTCTTAATCCTTCCCGTTTTCCCCCATCCCCTCAAACCCCTCTCATCTGGCAATCTCAAAATGTTCTCTGTATCTATGAGTTTGTATTTTGTTTGTTCATTTTTTAGACTCCACAATAAGTAAAATCATATGGTATTTGTCTTTCTCTGTCTGACTTATTTCACTCAGCATAATACCCCCAGGTCCATCCATGGTGTTGCAAATGGCAAGATCTCACTCTATTTTATGGCTGAGTAATATTCCATTGTATATATGTACCACATCAACTTTATCTATTCATCTATTGATGGACACTTAGGTTGCTTCATATCTTGGCTATTATAAATAATGCTGTAATGAACATATAGATGCACTTATCTTTTAGAATTGGTGTTTCAGGTTTCTTCAGATAAATACCCAGAAGTGCAAATATTGGGTCTTTCTTTGTCTCTTGTTATATATAGCCTTTGTTTTAAAGTCTATTTTGTTTGGTACAAATATTGCTACCCCAGCTTTTTTTTTTTTTTATTTCCATTTTCATAAAATATCTTGTTCCCATCCATTTAGTTTCAGTCTGTGTGTCTTTTGATCTGAAGTGAGTTTCTTGTAGGCAGCATACGTGTTTGTTTTGTGATTGATTCAGTCACCCTATGTCTTTTGATTAGGTTGATAGATATGTAGTTATTGCCATTTTATTATTCATGATTTTATCTTTATTTTTTTTTCTTCCTTTCTTAAAGAAGTCCCTTTAACATTTCTTGTAATACTGGTTTGGTGATAATTAACTCCTTTACCTTTTTGTCTGGGAAACTCTTTATCTGTCCTTCCATTCTGAATGATAGATAGCTTTGTAGGGTAGTGTAATCTTGGTTGTACGTCCTTGCTTTTTATCACTTTGAATAGTTCATGCCAATCCCTTCTGGCCTGCAAAGTTTCTGTTGAGAAATCAACTGACAGTCTTATGGGACTCCCTTGTAGGTAACTAACTGCTTTTTTCTCTTGCTACTTTTAAAATTCTCTGTCTTTAGCCTTTGGCATTTTAATTATGATGTGTCTTCATGTGGGCCTGTTTGGGTTCCTCTTGTTTGGGACTCTGCACTTCCTGGGCTTGTATGTCTAGTTCCTTCATGAGGTTACGGAAGTTTTCTGTCTTTATTTCTTCCAATGGGTTTTCAATTCCTTGCTCTCTTCCTTCTACTACCCCTATGATGTGAATGTTTGTGTGCCTGATGTAGTCCCAGAGGCCCCTTAAACTATCCCAGTTCTTTTGGATTCTCTTTTCTTTTTGCTGTGTTCTTATTGGGTGTTCTCTGTTATCTTACCTTCCAAATTGCTGATTCAGTCCTCTGCTTCATCTAATCTACTGTTGATTCCCTCTAATGTAATTTTTAAAAAAAACATTTTATTGGGGAATTGGGGAGGGGGGGCACAGTGCTGGGGAATCAGAAGGGGAACTGACAAGTTGCTGTCGTTTTGTTCTTCAGTCTAGTTGTGGAGGATGTCACTTCACTGGTCCATGTTGTTATTGTGAGCATTGTGCTCTTCCCAGGTGAGGCAGATCAGTCGCCAGCCCCTGGAGGGCCACTCACGGTGGCTCTTGGCAGTTCACACCGGCTGCTGGCTGCTCATGCTGGCTGCCGACCACACATGGTAGCTTATGGCAGCCTACTGCAGCAGGGGCTGCAGGCTATGCTGTCGCCAGTGACTCATGGCAGCCCAGCTCCAGGTCAAGCTGTTGTTCACCATCTTAGCTGTAGAGGGCAGTGTCACTGGTCCTCATGTGGGATCCAAACCAGAGCCCTGCTGCTCAGAGATGGTGTCCCAAGCCAGCTCTTAACCAACGCACCACTCGGCCGGCCCATCCCTCTATTGTATTTTTTATTTGAGTTATTGTACTCTTTATTTCTGACTGTTTTTTTTTAATGTTTCCTATCTCCATTTTTATGTTTCTATCTCTTTGTTGAAGTTCTCACTGAGATCACTGAGCATTCTTATAACCAGTGTTTTGAACTCTGCATCTGGTAGATTACTTGTCTCTGTTTTGTTTAGTTCTTTTTCTGGAGCTTTGTTTTGATCTTTCATTTGGGACATGTTTGTCTCATTTTGGCTGCTTCCCTGTGTTCATTTCTATGTAACAGGTAGAGCTGTTATGTCTCCTGGTCTTGGCAGAGGGGTCTTGTATAGTAGGTATCCTGTGGAGATGAATGACACAGTCCGCATAGTCACCTGAGCCAGGTGCTCCAGGTGTGTCCCTTGTGTAGGTTGTGTGTGCCCTCCTGTTGTAGTTGTTATGATTGCTGTTGGCATCTCAATGGGAGGGATTGGTCCTCAGGCTGATTGGCTATAAGGACTGGCCATGACTACAGAGGAGCTGTAGGGGGCTGATGCTACGGAGCAATAATCACCTTAGTGTGGCTCTGGTGCTAAGCAAGTCTTTTTGGGTGTGTTATTTGTGGAGCTGGTTGGGTGGTACTCTGGTGTGGTCTGAAGCTGGCCACTGAGTGTATTCATTCTGGGGCTTTTTGGGATGGGTTCTGGTGCAGACCAGGTCATCCATTGTCTACCCTGCCAGTGTCACTTGGTATGAGCTACAAAGTGATCTGTAGGATGCTGCCACTTGTGCTGGGCTTGGAGATGCCTGGGAGAGGTTAAACTGCAAACTGAGGTCAGCTGCTGCTAGTGCTGAGTTTGGGGCTGCTTTACAAGAGGTAGAAGGCATGCTGAGGCTAGATGCTGCCTATTTGGGGTCTGTGAACCTTTGAGAGATTTTAGGAAAGTCTGGAGCATGAGCCAAGCAAGACAGGCCATTTGTACAGAAAAGTCACTGGAAGCTGCTTGGATGGGCCTGCAAGTTGGGTGTGGAGCAGTCTTAGGGAATCGCTGGAATGGAGGAAATGGTGTTAGCCAGGTTGATGGAGACTCTACCATGGCGCCTACCTGCACATGCAAGCTGGGTGGTGGTGAGGCTCAACAAAGGAACAATGGCTTCTGCCAGCACTTCTGTCTGGAAGAAAGCTGTCCCCCGAGCCCTTGCTGTGAAGCCAGATAATTCTCCCCGTATGTCCCTGGCACCTTTTGAACTGCTGGAGCTTAGAGTGGAGCTCACAGTGACTAAGTCCTTCACTGAATAAGTCTGTGTGTGAGTCCTTTAATGGGAGCACCTGGGAATCCAGCAGCCCTCCGTCTCATTCAGCTACAATCTCCACTGGTTTTGACAGCCAGAGAAGTGTAAGACTTCTTTTCCTGGCTCTGGAATCCTAGGCTGGGAAGCTGGGTTTGGGTCTGGGACCCCTCAATCCTCAGGGGGTACTTTCACAGATGAAATATCCCTCCTGATTTTTAACTGCCACACATGGGTGTGGGACCAGCCCATTCTGAGTCTCTA